GCTATACTAGGCTAAAAATAGTAGAAGACTAGAAAAGTAAACTATCTCAGCGTAATTAGTACCGCGCCGTGGCCCGCTAGCCGCGGCCACCTCGCGATAGCCTCAGCTTTAGTAGTATTATATAAAGCTTAGCTAATATACCACTATATATATTACATCTATTAGGTACGTAATTGGCTACAACGCCGTACTACCTTGTACAGATAGGGGCGGAAGCAGTGGTTCCCGCCCTTTGCCATAATCATGTCTTATTTACGCCAACGGGACTCATAGAACCCGTTACGCATGATACTGCCTGAAACAGAACCCATTGGCGATAGTTGCTTTAGAAAAATTCACCGGTTGAATTGCCTTTCAGCCCACCACGATACATTGTTTTGAGTCATCATGGTAAAGCTTTTACATTATTGGTATCGGTTCCTCGATCTTCTGGTGCAATGCTAATCATGGTATTAATACAGAGCTCGATTAAAGGAGGAAGTGATCGAGAGACACGCTACGCGCACCACCCTTCAACGACTGAGCGAGACTTCTGACGTGTTCTACATTCTTGGAAGAGCACAATGTGACGGATACCCGTTGCGACGCCCCCCGGCAGGGAACTATCTTAAGCACCTACCTATTTACGCTTAGGTGATATGTAAATATACCTCAAGACGGGTATTTTACCGGACTGCCGCTTTTTCATGTGGCTCTGGGAGCTGGCGCCAGGTCAGAGAAGTGGTCAACCCTCACCGCGATTTTAAGATTCAGGAGGTTACATCACGCCATGCAGTCGACTTAAGCAATTTTAAGAGGGTGTGTCATGCTTTACGGCAAGTGTGGCCGTTGTTTCCATAGAATGCCTCAGAAGCAACTGCCTTGCTTTTTCGGCCAACGCATCATGTGGGAGGCCGACCAAATGTAACACCACCCAGGCGACCGCGAGTCTCTCCTATTAAATCTTGTCAATTCTGGGGAATTACAGTGATCGAGGCTTTGGCCATCCCGGTCGCCGGCCCTCCTCGACAACACACGTTATGACTATATATTTTTAATACAATTTTTGCGAAGAATCCAGGTCATCGGGGATGGAATTTCGGATGGCGTTGTCGTCACGGAAGACGCCAAAGCTCAGATTGTTACAAGGTTACGAAACCAGGAGAATTTACAAGTCTTGGCCATTGGTGATAGTCCTCTAGACTTACCGAT